CCGTGTAATTTTTGAAAAAATTGGTGGCCGGTCTCCCCCCGCCCCCGTAGCTTCTTAAACCGAGTTTTTTTGGTTTTTTTTTTTTTTTGTTTGTTTTTTCTTAAGCCTTTGATTTGGAAGCACGACCATGAAATTGTTTACCCATCTAAAATTCTGAAAAATTCTTCTGATAATTTGTCTACAAAGCATCTGAAATAGAAACAATTGCCAGAGAAACCCACCTGAGAGTCATGCACAGAGAGGGACTGTATTTGCTCGGGGATGCCACCAGCATTCACTGAAATCTGTTAAGAGAACGACCATTATAATACCCAAGGAAGCCAAGAGGAGAAAGCATGGTCAAAGCACATTACCTCTCAACTGTCAGAGACCATATTTTTTCTTAGAAGACCTTAAAAAGCAGTATATTTCTCAAAGTATTTCCCACGTGCTTCTGACCACCCATCCTGGAACAGACTGAGTCCCACTTGGTTCAGCATTCAGAATCTCATGGCTATGGGAGAGTATCTGTATCTTTAACAAATTTTGGGTTGACTCACATGTTTTTTGACAAAAAAAAGTGTGAACTACTTGTTCTTTTGTATTTATTTTTATTTTTTGCATATTGGTGTTATGCCTGTATGTATGTTGCATGCACCCATGTCATGCAATACCTGCAGAAGACAGAAGAGGGCAACAGATCCCCCTGAAACTGGAGTTACAGACAATTGTTAGCTGCCATGTGGATGCTGGGATTCAAACCCCAGTCCTCTGCAAGAGCAGTCAGTGCTCTTAACCACTGAGCCATCTCTTCAGCCCCCAGCAACTTGTTCTTACAGCATCACTTCATCTAAAGTTAAGGGACCCTTAATGTAAGGTTACGAGTCAGCAAAATCTGCCCAGTAGGTCAAAAATTTAAGGGTAAATAGAGTGGAAAAAACCAACAAATCATTTCCACAACAGAAATACCAGAGTGCTATTTTTCACTCAAACTTGGGATTCTGGTCCTAAGGTAGAAACCAAATTATTTTGCCTCAAGCTCTACTTTTGTGAATTCTGCCCTGGAGCACAACTTGAAAGACAAAAGAATTTCAAAAAGAAACAGCAATGAAAATGAATGGAGGGATCTCCTATTTCTACTTATGATCAATTCTAGAATAATCAGAAATCATCAGGAATTCTTTGTGGCAAGTTTTCTAAAGTCCAAGAGGGTAACATTCATACTCTCTGTGCTCCCTTAAAAATAATTACATTCGTAATGAAGTGATAGGGAGAAATGTATTCATGTCTGCAGTTACTCTGAAATGCATCAAAAAGGAAAGGTGGTTGTTGGAGGAATAGGAGGACACATAAAAGGAATAAAACAAATGTAGTAACAGTGGGAACTTTGTGACAGATATGGTACTTTACAGTTACTTGTTACTTAATGGTACTGTATGTTTAAAAAAGTGTATAATAAGATCAACCCATCATCCCATTGGGTATTAATCAGCCAGAGGATCAGACCTTATAGAAAATGACCTCTTGGGACGAATCATGCGAGCTGATTCCATAATCTGTCCCATCCTTCACAACTCCCTTGTTCTTAGGACACCATCATAATGGACAGTCAGATGGAATAGGCAAAGGAACCACACACTCCTCAACTTTAGCATATAGGTGTAATCCTCCATACAATGAGGGCAGAACACTCCCAATGGTACAGCACAGAGGACTCCCCTAAACACACAGAGATGCTCAGAGTGCTAGAGAAGGGATCCATACAAAGCATGTTCATTAACAATCAAGTGCAGTCCCCAGTGTCACCACTGTAGACTCACTGTGTGGAATTAGACCACAGCCACAAAGCCTACAAAAAAGCTGACACCATTTACAGCAGTCACTCTTTGTGCTGGATAGCTTTAGTGTCAACTTGACACACCTGGGTTGAGGGAGCCTCAATTGGGGAATTGACTTCATTGGACTGGCCTGTGGCCATGTCCATGGGGCATCTTGACTGTTGAGTGATGTGGAAGGGCCCAGCCCACTGTGGGGGGGTGGTACCCCTGGGCAAGCATACAAAAGCAGGCTGAGCAGGGGCCAGGGGAGCAAGCCAGTAAGCAGTGTTCCTCCATGGCCTGTGCTCCAGTTCCTGCCTCCAGGTTCTTTCCCTGAGTTCCTACCTTGTGCTCCCTGATGAACTGTGACCTGGGAGATGTAAGATAAATAAACCCTTTCCTCCCCAAGCTGGTAGTGGTCAGAGTGTTTTGTCACAGCAGTGAAGAAACAAGTTAGGACAGAAATTGATTGTGGGGGCACTGCTGTGACAGACCTGACCTTGGCGTTTTAAGGAAGATTGTAGAAGTGTTTGGAACTTTGGACTGGAAAAGCCATTGAGTACTTAGAGTTTGTTGCTGTGGAGCTTGACCAGTTACGCTGAAAGAGTTGTGAACAATGGAGGCCTGGTTTGTGAAGCTTCAAAAAAAGCAGAGACTATCAGGGATGTCTGTGTGATGTTTTGTATTGAGAATCTGTGGGTTCTGGTCGGCTGGGGTTGAAGAATCAGCTGTGATTAAGAGACCAGAACCTGAAGTAAAACCTTTGCTTTATTGGGACAATTGATGCTGGTTAGCTAGGGCTGAAAAATCAGCTGTAAGTAACAAGAGACCGGCATCACTATGGTGAAGTCTTCTGGAAGATATTTCTCATGATCAGCACAGAGGGGACATAGCCTTATCACAAGCTAGAAGCAAGACTTGGTAATGTGTAAGAGTCTCCTGCATGGTTCTGGTGTTAAAAGCATGAAGGGGTCACAGAGAGCAGCTGAGGCTTGGCACTCTGAGAGGCCAGGAAAGGCCATAGGTGAAAGTACAGCTTCGGTTACAATGAAGACCCCAGGATTGAAGGAGTCATGGAGAGAATATGAGGCTTTGCACTCCAAGAGGCAAGAAGAGGCCATTGGTGAAGGTGTAGCCTCAGTTTCAGAGGTGACCCCAGCTTTTAGGAGATGCCGGGACCATGGGATGACCACCAAGGACAGCAGCAGGTGTGGAATGGAGCCGGCCTGGGTCTGCGAGATGAGCTGTGTGTGCTGTGGACTGCAGAGTCAGAGAAGTGGCGCTGCCAGAACCCTTTGGAGCCCAGAAGATCGTAGGTGAATCCCAGATGTCCAGGCTTCAGCTACTTTGCTGGACTTTGGTTTTGCTTATGTGTGCCCAATTCTTCCCTTTGAAATAAGACAGTATTTGTTTTAGATTTTACAGAAGCCCACCTACAGTTAAGAAACTTTTTAAAGAGACTATGGACCATTAAGTGTTTCATTTTTTAAGGACTGTGGGGATTTTAAGGTTGTACTGTCTTATGTTGTGATATTAATGTTAACATCATATCTTGAGGACAAGAATTTGAAAGGTTATGGTTTAATAGTGATGTGTTTCATGTCCTTGGGGCATCTTCTTGATTGTTGAGTGATGTGGGAGGGCCCAGGCCACTGTGGGTGGTGCCACCCCTGGGGGCAGGTGGGCCTGTGTTGCATACAAAAGCAGGCTGAGCAGGGGCCAGGGGAGCAAGCCAGTAAGCAGTGTCCTCCATGGCCTATGCTCCAACTCCTGCCTCCAGGTTCCTGCCCTGAGTTCCTACCTTGGGCTCCCTGATGAACTGTGACCGGGAGATGTCAGATAAATAAACCCTTTCCTCCCCAAGTTGGTAGTAGTCAGAATGTTTTGTCCCAGCAATGAAGAAACAAACTAGGACAAGGACACTCTTCAACAATATCATGGAAAATAGGATAGATTATTTTTCTTTTAAACAATTTGCTACAAGAAGGGCATTTGAGAGAATATGTATTTTGAGAGGAAGAAAAAAGGAAAACAATAAATGAATCTTGGGCATCACTCTGGAAATACATCCTGACAGGGATCACAGACAGGGTCAGAAAGAGGTAAACACTCTAGACTGAGACAAAAAGAAGGCAGCATCTGTTCCCAATCTTCACAGCACTCTGTCTAGCCTGCTCTTTTCCTATTTCTAATAACACTGTGGCTAATGCAGTGTGTTACACTGGATTGCATCCTGCTGGGGCATAAAAAGGACACTTAGTGGACAAACCCGAAAACCTCAAGAAATTCTGAATCTTGGTAATAATGTAGCAGAATTCATTTTCGGGTTGTGATAAATGTACCCAGATTGTGTGAGAAATTAACAGTAAGAGAACTGGGTGAGGAATCTATGGGAACCCTTTACCACATCCGCAACATTTCTATAAATGCAGACTTTATTCCAAAATAAATACAAAATACAGTAGATTTAAACTGACTCCTAATGACATTGTTATACCCATAGATTAATGAATCTCTCAACTCTCATCAGAGAAGTTCCTTCTTGCAGCAGACGGTGATTAACACAGAGACCCACCAGTGGTCAACATGCAGAGGATAAGAGACTTAGCCATAAATGGAACACCTATATGACACCCTCTCCTCCCAAGGTTCCAGGATCATTGAGGAAGAGGGGATGGAAAGACTGTAAGAGCCAGAGGTGGTAGATGAACATAAGGAAACCATGTTGTCTGGATGCCACAGGGCAGTTGCACATATGAACCCACAATGCTTGTGACAACATGCAGAAAAAGACCTGTGCAAACCCAAGCCAGACAAAAGCCCAGCATGGATAAGGAAGTGGGCAGGAAACCCCAGCCCTGAGAACCTACTGGCAATTAATAAATGCTGGGGGCGGGGGGGAGACTGACGAGACTGACTTTTCTTTACTGATATGTTGCCTAGTAGATTAGCCAGACTCCAAGAGATAGACCCACAACCAAGAACATTTGGGAAACAGATTAGATGCAATATTCCTTTTTAAAAAAAGACAAATAGTAATAGAGGACATAAAGTTGGGGAGGGGTGTAAGGTGGGATGGGGGTAAAGGGTCTGATATGATCAAAATACACTGCATGAAATACTGAAAACAATAATGTGTTTTAAAATATTTCTGATCATAAATCTTTCATCACAACTATTTGGAAGGTCAGTCACAGCAGCTGTAGACAGCTGCATCTCAGCTTACAGGCATCGAGGCTGAGCAGCTGCGATAACTAAGGCTAAGTGTAACATACTCAGATGAAGACCCTTTCTTTGTTGCTACACACAGATATAAACAAACAAAAGAGAGCTGACAAGCATCAAGGAATCACCCTTTCAACAGAAACGATTGTAAAAAGCTAACGGCAGTCTTAAAAACCATCAGACAACAGAAATAAGTTTCATCTTCACATGTGCCTATCTCCTATAAAATTAATTCACACTAAAGCCACACCAATGTATTTTCTACTTAGAATAAGGTCTCAGATCTGTCAAACAAGAGGTTTTCGTAATTAACCTAGATGAGAACCTGGGTTACAAAATGCATCAATATCCTTCTACTCCACTTAGGCCAAATAAAGACAGTTTTTCCAGTTGATTTCTAAAATACTTCTTCCCTCTTTCCCTTCCTTCTTCTGCCCTTTCATTTTTTTTTTTAAATTTCTATTAGGCAGTATCTAAAGAAGAATCTTCAGGAACTCTGACAGACAGCCTTCCTGGATTCCACTCTGCACATCTGGTTTCAGAGTGATTTGTGCTATTTTCCTAGTCAGTCATTCTTGCCACAGATCAGAATCATGTGAGTAGCTCTTTAAAAACCAGAGTGTGCCTTGCCCTCACACCAAAATACCAAATTAGACTCTATATCACATCACATTTTTAAAGGTTCTTCTTACTCCACCTGGAAAGAGGATGGCAAGTCATCTTTTCAAGATTGCTAACTGAGGTGTGGCTTTCAAAGGTCAGAAGCCTCCTAGTTAAATGAAATCAAAGGGAACTAGATTTAAAGATAGTCAATTTCATTTTTCACATGGAAAATTAGAGTGTATCTTAAAATTGACAGTCATGTAACATATTTATTTCAGAGTCTGACAAAAAGAAATTCCAAAGCACTGGTCAGAAGAAAATCAGTAATTAATAATAATTGAAAAAAAATCTAGATAACATTTATGGGAAACCCTCCCTGAGAAGCCAGTCCTGGTCCTGATCCTTCTCCACACCCTTTCTCCAAAGATGAAAAGCTTCAGGAGGCAGACAGTTCTCTTGGTGTATAAATGCTATGGTGTCTAACATAGTTCCATGCAGGACTCAGACATAGATTCAGGTTTTGATAAATTAATTCATTGAACTTCCCACATCAGCATGGCTGTTATTAAACCTTCCTCTCCATGGGCTTTTACCGTCTAAGTAGAATAAGAGAATAAAATAAGTGAGGATGATTATCCATTTGCTGAAAATTATTAATTACTAGTGGATGCGTTTTCTAAAAGATATTATTTTGAAAACTGGACCAATTTTTCGTTGTGATAGGCTATAAATTTCAAGATAAAAGGTTTAACTCTGAAACTTTACAGTTCATAACAAATTTTTTCGACAGAAGAACCTCCAAATATGACCCAAGAAGAGCTACATTTTCTCAATGCCCAACTGACAAACACCCTATTCAGGCCATCTTGATTCTGTCCAGTAGATGCTGTCCCTTACAGACCTGGACATGATCCCTCAGTCTCCCTAGGTAGTGGCATAACCCCTAGCAAAGCTCCCCTAAATGCGCCTCGTTTGCTGTAGTGCCTCATTCTGTCTAAACATGGTAATACCAAAGCTGCTTTTGCTGAGCTTCACTTCGGTTACATAATGTCTGTGAACTTTTATCCGCATTCTGACCTCATAAAGACTATACGCCAGGGCTGGAGAGATGGTTCAGTAGTTAAGAACACTGGTTGTTCTTGCAGAAGACCCTGGTTCGAATCCCAGCACCCACATGGCAGCTAACAGTTGATCGTAACTCCAGTGCCAGGGGATCCGATGGCCTTGTCTGTTCTTGCAGGCATTGCATGACATGGGTGCACTTACATACAGGCAGGCAATACACTCATACACATAAAAATTTAAAAAAAAATTTTAAAAAGACTATATGCCAATTCATGCCTCTGTTTTATGTTTTCACTTAAGTGCCTGGATACATGTTACCAACAAACATGCATGGGCTATCTATTAGATGCAAAGGGGGCATAAACATAAATAACATACTCCCCTAGTCTTCTAGTCAAAGATGAGTAAACTGCAATTTAACTGATGAGTAATACTGGAAAACATATTAAAATATAGTACTCTGACATCTAAATGTCCCATTTAGCACAGAGAAGTATTTCAGTCTCCAAAAAACTTGTAAGATTTACTGTCAGAAGCTTTATACATTGGCACACTTCAACAAGATAGAGCTCTAAATATCTATAGTACAATTTTATATGTACCCCCAAACTCATCCATGTAAGAAAGCTGAGCCAGGCATGGTGGCACACACCTTTAATCCCAGCACTTAGAAAGCAGGAGGATCTCTGTGAGCTCAAGGTCAGCTTAGTCTACATAGCCAGTTCCAGGTTAGATAGAGCAATATAGTGAAGTCCTGATGCTTATAATAACAACCTACATGACTGCCAAGAAGGAAAAAGTTAAATAAGCCATTTCCATCACCCACTGTAAACTACATACATTGCAATTGAAAGTAGAGACAAGAGCTACAGTGTCTGGTATGGAATACTGCCAAGACGACAAGGCAAGCCACAAAATTTTACAAGTTTTATAATTCCATTCAAGTTCTCAAGATAATAGGTTCAATTTTTCACATATAAAATTGTATGGAAATGAACAGAAACGCTCTGGAAGCAAACACTGCAATCTGAAAGGAAGTGACAGGCACAGGGGTGAGGAGAGAAAGCAGAATGAAAGTATTTTTTTTGGTTTGTATTTTCTCCCATTAATTCTACACCTCTATGTTCTAGCCCATCCAAAATCCCGGCCTCCTGCCATATTCCCTGCATCTCAACATCATGCCCTGCTCTCCCTCATGCTCCTAGTCTAACAAGGGCCACATCTTGACTTTCACTCCTATTAGAAAGCAAGCTCCATAAGGACAGGGGTTTGCTGTTTTCTTTTCTTTATTTATTCCTATCAGCCTTTAAAGCAGTGCACACATCATTAGGCACATAATACATAATTTTGTATACTTTTAAACTCCCTTTATAATATATATATAAAGTGCTCTATATTTCACTTATAGGAAGAAGTTTGGGGTAGTTGGCAAATCAGAGGACTAACTTAATTAAAAACTGAAAAGATACAGGAGCTACCTCAGGATAGTGAAATGTAATATTACAAAAAGGAAAGATTATTTTTAAAAAACAGGCCTAATCTGGACATGGTAGCATGATGGCACATGCCTTTAATCCAACACTTCTGACACAGAAGCAGGCAGGTTTCTGAAAGATCAAGGGAGGCCAGTCTGGTCTACATAGTGAGTTCCAGGCCAGCTGGGGTGAGAGGGAGACCTTGTCTCAAAAAACAAAAAACAAACAAACAAACAAACAAAAACTTGCCTGAGAAGCTGTGGACAGGGTATTCCTAAACTTTGGTGGGAATATCTTGCATGTAAATAAATGCAAACTTTTCACAGAAATAGGAAGAGACATATGGGCAATATGGGCAGAGACATATGCTACTAGGAAATCCACTGAGTTTAGATACAGTAAAATGCAACGTTCAAATTCTAGTCAAGAAGCCCAACAGCAATGATTTAAGTCAACTGAAGGGTGTTATTCATTCCCTAATCTATTTAGAAAATATCGTTGCCAAAAATATCCTTCCATTCTTCAAACAATAAATTATCAGAACAATTTCAACAAATACTTACTGAGACACTACCCTAACAAATCATCAGGAGGAAATCAATAATAAATGCTTTTTGAGTTGATAATGGTTCCTGAAACATCTTAATCTGCTCTACTTTTAAACAGAACTCATACTTCTAATTAGAGATACTTAGAAATAAACTGAAAAAAAAAAAACTGGACTCTGTAACTTCACTCTAGACAAAATGGGAAAGTACACAAGAAAGGGCAGGATTCATGGTTCCTAACTAAAATCCTTCTAAAATCCCAATACATCTGTGAGCCAGTATGTCCCCATCTGGGCTCCACTACCGCTCCTTGACCAAAAGCTTTTGTTATAAATATAAAATGGAGAGAGTAATTCATAGGACAGGCACAGAAGAAGGCAGGATCTGAAGGAGAGCCACCATTGGTGGGCAGTACAATGAGAAATTCCAGCAGAGGCCTTACAGAAACATGTCAAGAAAGACGAAGAGAGAAGAAAAGCCAGGAAGAGAGAGGCCTATGGCTCTGCTCCTGGTTTGCTAAAAGGCATAGCTGGCTACTGCCACTCCAAACCCACTGGTAATATTTATCCACATAACCAGAATGAAATGCCTGCTAATTAAAAAAAAATGGGATGGACATCATTTGTATCCCAGAGTTTTCTGTTTTTGTAATGAGTCTTCTTCATCAAGAAACACATTAATTACTAAGTCTATAGAGTCCTGGGAGCTATTTAACTATTATCACATTTCCTCTATGAGTATCAGTATGCTACAGTCATCATTAGGCATTAGGATAATTAACCAGATGGAGGAAATAAGTAAAAAAAATGATTTCTTAATCAAAAGATGATCTGTTATCAAAGAGAAACCATTCAAAGAGTGTTCCTTGCCCACCAAGTTACCCAGGACACTTAAAAGTTAAAAGTAATAGATTCAACCTAGAGTTTCAACCACTTTAATATCTTCTTTTTTTAATACATGAAAAACCCAGAAGCCAATTTTGCCTCTGTGTGTTCCATATTTTCTAAGTACTACAAGTTAAAAGTCCTTATTACTTAGTGAGTGTCAAGGACTCTGCTGAGTGGTTTATGTACGTGACTTGACTACTCCTCGTGACAACCTTATAAGCACTATGATCATCCCCAAACAATGGAGGGGGAAACATAAGCTCAGAGAGCAGAGTAATTTTCCAAAATTTGAGCAGCCCAAAGTAACTCAGAATCAAAACCAACAAAGTCTATGTGCCTTCCCTTTCTCTCTTGCTCCATGAGATTTTGAGATCTGTCTCCCAAATGGGTTAGACTGTCATGCCACAATGGGGAATGATGGGTGAATAAATAAATATAAAAATACATACACTCATGCATCCATAATACCCACTGCTCACCTCGGGGTTTTCTTCTTTTACTCTTCGTGACTGCAAAACAATTATATGTCTGTTAATATACACAAAATACTGCAGAAACACAATGTAAATTGGGTATTGCTAGCTATGGTCATTTACCTTTTCTTGGGAGGCAGCTGCTTTCCCTTCCTCACTTTTCTCATCCATCTCATCATCGCTCCACTCCCAGTCCCCGTCTTCAGTTTTATGGAGGTGGCCACTGGACCCAGGAACTCGCCTTACCTGAAACCAAAACAAGCCACATCATCCTTCACCAGTTGGGCACGCACAGCACTCACTAGTACCACTAGATGGATTATGGAGCACACACACAGGACTCTGAAAAGCAAGCTAAGTGCTTATCAACCCAGGAAAAACTACAAGTTAATTTAATACTCTACAGTCTTTTACAGCTGCAAACTCCCACACTCACCATCTTTTCAAAAATATTGTGTTCTTGAAATGTATTACTAAACACATATAGAACAAAATATTTTTGGAGAACACCACAAACATAAGTCATTAAACATGGAGCTCATTTTTCACTTCTACTTAGTTAGCAACTTTCTTAGTTACTACACATATGAGGCCATGTGGTGGGCTTCAAAATTGTCTAAGGAAATGCACACAAGCAACTGGCTGCTGACTGATAAAAGGCAGGGAAAAAGGGATCTCTAATGAAGCACACTAGGCCAGAGGTATCGGCAATCTAAGACCTATGTCCACAAGCCTGGGTCCTCTGCAAGAGCAGTCAGTGCTCTTAACTTCTGAGCCATCACTCCAGCCACATGGAAGGCAAAACTTTTAAAAAGACAGGCCAGTAAAGAACTAGCTGCTGACCACAGTAACCTGCCTGTTAAAGAATTTTGTTGAGATGTAATGAGGCAAAGCAGTGCACAGATGAATATGACGTGAACACAGCAGCAATGGTCCACCAATTTCAGAGGAACAGGAAGTAGAAAAGACCTTGGGGACCCTGGATTCAATCCCTTTGCTTTATAGATGAGGAGGTGAAGGCCCAGAAAGTAACCTGAGATCACATTGCTGTCAGGGCAAAATCAAAGGGAGACACAAAAAGCCAGAGGCTCATTCCCCTGCTGTCAGAAAAAAGCTGTGTAGAAAAATGTCCTGTGAAGATTCTGAAAGTCTATGATGCAGGCCTGGGGAGTTAGCTCAAATGGGTACAGTGCTGAACTTGCAATGACAGAGCTCTATCCCCACCACTCATGTGAAAAGTTGGGCATGCACTAGTAATTCTAGTACTGGGCTGTGGAGACAGGTAGATCCCTGGGCTTGCTCACTAGCCAACCTGGGCTATTTGACGAGTTTCGGGCCAGTGAGAGACTCTGTCTCAAAAATAAATGCGGGGCAGAGCCTGAGGAAAAACACTCAAGATTGTCCTCTAGCATCTGAAAACATATGAGGAGTACATCACACACACACACACACACACACACACACACACGCACGCACACACACA